CATTTCCACTTTATTTTCAGTTTCTGGACCACGTGTGATAACGTCCATGATCTGGTGGCAGCAAAATCTACATTTCAAGTGGGCCCTATATGAAGAGGGACTTCCTCTTCTTCATCCCAAATCTCCTATGGATGACTCTGGGCTATTGTGGGATGTTGCCATCTCAAAAATTGTATTACAGCAGCAAATAATAATAAAAAAAGAAAATGAAAATCTGTGATGCATCATGGATTTTGCCTCCTAAGGCTACTTCTCCTCCTATTCAGTTGACTTGTTCCTTAAAACTGCATTGTCATTGGTAACAGCTAAAAAAGGTTTCTTCCCACGCCATGCCTGTGGTTAACATTACAACCCCTAACTTGTGACATCCCATCCTGATCTCAGTGCTGAGACAGCGATCATGAGACGTAGCCGAAAAAGCACACTTTGGACAGAAGAAAATGCAAGTCATGCAACAAAACGGTTGCAGACTGTCAAAAATAGTGTGAATTCAGTCCACTTTTAGGGTTAGGGTTAAGGTTAGGGAATCATGGGAACTGAATTTTATTGTGGCACTAGAGTTCTCTGACAAAGAAGGTTCAATGTCTCAGAAAAATAACAATTCCCATGATTCCCTAGCACTAACCCTAACCCTAAAAGTGGACTGAATTCACACTATTTTTGACAGTCTGCAACCCCCCAGAGTAATCATAACTAGTATTAAAAGCAACACCACTACATTGTTACTATTATTACTTGTACTGGTGACAAAAGTTTCTTAATGCTGCCTTTATACCTTATATTAAATGTCTGGAGCGTATTCTGGCCCTTTATCCAATAGTTAGTTTCAATGAGAATTGTTATAGGTTGATGCCACACAGCAGAAGTGATGCAGTTTGACACCACTTTTACTGTCATGGCTTCATCCTATGGATTCCTGGGATTTGTAGCTTGCTGTGGCACCGGAGGTCTCTGCTAGAGAAGGCTAAGTAGCTCAAAAAACTACAAAGCCTAGAATTCCATAGCATTAAGTCATAACAGTTAAAGCAGAGTCAAACATGCAGTGTAGACGCAGACATTGTTTCCCTTCAAATCATTTCCAACAAGTTTTTCTATGTGCCTTCAAGTCCTTTCTGATTTATGGCAACCTTATCATAGTTTTCTTGGAGGGTTTGCCATTGTCATTCTCTGAGGCTGAGAGAGTGACTTGCCCAAGATCACCCATGGGTTTCCATGGCCAAGCCGGGATTCGAACCCTGGTCTCCCAGTATTCTAGTCCAGTGCTCAAACCATTACACCACACTGGCCCATGCTGACCATATCACAGCGGTTTCCGGGCAACATTTGTTCAGAGGGGGGTTTGCCATGGCCTTCCTCTGAGGGGGAGAGAGTGTGACTTACCCAAAGTCATCATCCTAGTTTCCATGGCTGACCAAGGATTCAAGCCCTGTTGTCACAGAGTCCTAGCCCAGCACTCAAACCATTATACCACACACTGGCTCAGTTGTCTTGGTGAGATTTCCTCAGAGGAGGTAGACCATTGTCTTTTTCTGAGGCCAAGAAAGTGTGATTTGTCCAAGGTCACTCACTGGGTTTCTGTGGCTGAGTGGGGATTTGAACCCTGATCTCCTGGAGTCTTAAGAGATTTTCAGATGAGCAAAAGTGATGGGGGCATAATGGGATGTTCCTAGTCAGTTTCGCGCAATTGTGTGGAGATTTCAGACGAAGTTGCGTAATGTCGCAATAATCCCGTCATTATCCCATGAATAAAGGGAAGTTTTCTAGCTGCTTTTCATTTACGTGAAAAGTTTTGACGCAATTGTGAATGTGTCATGCATCAGGGTTGTCATGTTAACCACTACACCACACCAGACAGACCCCTTAAATCAGTGGTTCCCAGCCTTTTCTATGCCCCCCACCCCTAGGAAATGTTTAGTTAATGTTTGCAACCCCTACAAAAGTAGTATTACATTGTTGGAAATTGCTGGTTAATTAGACAAATTAACTAACAAATTAACTAGTTGATTAGACAAATTAACTACTTTGGTGAGAGGAAAGCAAATGGATGTATTTAAAGAAAACTGAAAACCATTTATTGAATATGTGAAACGATGAAAAGGAGAAATTAGTAATTACTGGGTTCAACAGTTAGGCAGTTGAAACATGTTTTATTTATGGGTCCAAGGTGGAATAATATTAACAATATGGTCATAATGTACAAGATTAACAGGGAGAAAATATAATTATTTTGGTATCAAGTAGAGATTAAGCAGAAAGTCTTTTAAGATGGAGAAGAAGGAGGGGGAAAGGGGATTGCTGTAGCTTGTTTATATGCTTGTATGTTGGTTTATGTTATTGTATGTCTACATTTTTATTTTAAATTTTGAATAAAATATATTTTTTAAAAGTAATATCAAATTAGAAGATGAAGTAGTCTAATTTCTACTTTTTGAACCACATATAATACTAGGGGTGAACAAACTGAACTTAACCAAAGAATATGTTTTTATCTCAGTGCACAAAATGCACATCAAATTGAGCAATTAGATTCTAATTTATTCCAAAAAAATTTGTAAACAGTAAAATCAATCCCATTTGTGAGCATAAAATTCATTGCCTTCTTTGCTCCTGCTTCTCATTCATGATTGCGTCAAAATGTGGAACTTTTTTGCTGACTGCGATTGGTAGGTCTGCCTGCAGATTCAGGCAATTCAAATTTTTGTCTTGACTGAAAAAAGAGAACTGAATCCAGATTCACATAAATATCTTTGTTGCAGATTCCATCTCGCACCTGGTGGGGGTGCAGGTACCCCAAATTGGGCACTCTGACCTTAAATCAAGGGTGGGCCAAGTGTGGCCAACTGGAAACTAAGAACACCCTGCTATAAAATATATAAGAGGGAAAGTGGCAGGAAATTCCAACAGAGTCACGTTTGACGTCGAAAGTACTCTAAAGTGGGGAAGTAATAAAAGGGAAGTTGGCATGAAAAGCCAGGAGGGTCAAATCCATCCAAAATGAGTTGGGTCAGAAGAGGATCAGCTATGGGGTAGGCGTCAATGAGGGCAACACCCCCTACATAGGAATACTGTCCCCCAACAAATCTTCTCCACAGTGGCCGGATTTCTTGCACTGCAGAAATTTAAAACCTGAGTTGAGCATTTCCAAATACAGTTTAGGCCTACAAAGAAAAGGAGACAGAATCATGCAATTGTAGAATTATAGAATCATGGAGTTGGAAGAGACCACAA